TTTCTGATGTGAAGTATGTTTTGTTAGATGTTAGAATACTGTGTCTGCTCATTTCCTAGTTCTATTTGCTTAAAATGTCTTTCTTCATCCTTTTGTCCTAAGGTAGCTGTCTATAATTGATGCTCATATGTGTCTGTTGGAGGGAGCAAAAAGATAAATCATGTTTTCTAATTCAATTAACTTGTCTCTCTTGGGTTTTCTTTTGGTTATTTTGGGGTCAAGAAGGGGGAGAGAATTAATTGGGACTATTAATACTCAGGTATTATTAAAATATGTATGTTAATTCCTGTCTTTTGTTTATTTTGTGATGTTTTCTGTGCTCTTTTTTGTGAACTGCCCTATTATTTTTTTATTCCCTGTGACCACTTGGGTCTTTTACATTTTCTTCAGACTTAAATTATATAGGCTTATGTCCCTTCTTGCTGCTTAAGTCTCACTTTAACTATAGCAGTATCCACCTGTTTCTGAAGTCTTACTATTTTTCCCTTTCAACCAAATTTTATTAAATGTCATTGTCTCATTTCTCACAACCTCATCTTTCATTCACATGAATCCTATTAAGACATCAAAAGACATTAAGCTAACCATATTGATTTTGTTGACATCCAAAAAAGTCTCATCTGTAGGCAGAATTTTCTTCCCTGCCAGTCAGCTCCCAAACAACCACACAGAGACTAGTTATTATTTATAAATGCTTGGCTAATAGCTTAGGCTTGTTACTAACTAGCTCTTACATCTTAAATCAACCCATATTTTTTTAGTTATGTTCTACCACGTGACTTGGTACCTTTCCTCAGCATGCTCATCTTGCTTCTCCTCTCATCTCCTGGTTACTATTCCTTTCTTCATCCCAGCACTCTCTCTCTATCCATCCTATTGGCCATTTAGTTTTTTTTTTTTTTTTTGGTTTTTCGAGACAGGGTTTCTCTGTGTAGCTTTGTGCCTTTCCTGGAGCTCACTTGGTAGCCCAGGCTGGCCTCGAACTCACAGAGATCCGCCTGCCTCCGCCTCCCGGGTGCTGGGATTAAAGGCGTGCGCCACCAACGCCCGGCCCATTTAGTTTTTTATGAAACCAATGACAACAAAAATCTTCACAGTGTACAAAAAGTTTATTCCTCAACACTTATCATAGATTTTGATACACTCAAATGTTTAAAAAGTCATAATAAAAATATTATGAACCCCAGATAGTGACTAATTCTGTGAACATATAAATCAACTATAAACTGCACAAAATGTACAAAACAGACTAATAAATTACAGTATGATTTCAAATTAAAAAATTATTCTCATGTAAACCAGCATAATTGCAATTAAAAGTTTTAAATAGTCATGAAAACAATGAGATTGCAGGCATAGCTCCTGGTAATAAAGAATAAAAAGACTTTATCACTGAGCCCAAACTTGCTCTGTCCACCCAATTCTTAATACTGACAGATCCCCAGACCCCATCCATTTGGCCCAAACTTTTGTTATATGCTGGTTTCTGACAGACAGCAAAGTCATTCCTGTGCTTTGGGTCTGGGTTCCCACTATCCTCCCAGGCCACGGTGTTGTTAGATAATTGGTCTCTGGACCCTGAACATTTGACCCGAACATCCATTCTCCCCAGCTTCCAATGCTTTCTAATAAATGGTCTACCATCTCTGAGCACTGAACTCAAAATTCTGCTGTCATGCTAGCTCCTGGTGATGACAAGTAAAGTGTCCCTAGATTGTTGGCTAAGGCAGCAGCCCAAACTTCCACAGTTCTGCCAGCTCTTGGTAAGCAGTGTCCAGAATATCACCCACACTTCTTCCCACAGTGCCTGGTATGCAGTGTCCAGAATATCACCCACACTTCTACTCAACCAACTACTTCCAGATGCATAAGTCCCAAGGAAGCAACAAAAACAAGAAAATCCAGAACAGCATGTCTCCTCTATAAATTACTAATATTTTATCTACTTTTGTGAGTATTATAGGGTCTGATGCCTAAGTCATTGATTGTTGTATTTAATAACTTTGCTCTAAAAGCAGAAATCTAATCACAAATAGCCTTTTCAAATTACTTATATTCCTCTATTTTTTTAAAAATACTGCTTTAATTTATTCTTTTAATTTTTTTAGATATATAGCATGTATTTTGATCTCATCCAAGCCTACCACCTTCATCTAATGCCCACCTCAACCCCCTACCCATATCTCCCCTAATTTTATATCCTTTTGTTGTTTTTCATACCCTATGTCAAAATAATGAAGATCATATGTACAAACTATATCCCCAAAGAAAAATGGCCCCCTTTCCCTCAACAACCATCAACTGCCAATAGCTTCTCAGCTGGCCATGCAGTCTTGGGATCCTCTCCATGATCCATGATACAATTATGAGTGACTTGATCTTATGCAGGTCTTATGTCCACAACTACAGATGTTGTAAATTGATGTGTGCATCAGTAAAGTCGCATGCCACAGATCTCCTCCCCACATTCCTATTTTTATAGTCTTGCTGCCCACTTTTCTGAGATATTCCCTGAGGCTTAGAATGGGGTAGGTTGATATAGATGACTTGTCTCCAGCTGAGCACTCATTGTCAATTCATCTCAGCTCTTTGTCCAATTATGAGTCTCTTCACTAGCCACTACCTGTTGAAAAAATAAGGTTCTCTGACCAAGGTTCAGAGCAGCATAAATCTCTATTAAGAAAGTAGCTTGACAAAGTACCATTTATTAAAACATCAGTAGAGTTCTCCCTATGTCCTATGATTTCCTCAGGCAAGACTGTTTGACCACATTTACAGTACCAGACATGAATTATTCCTCTGAAGTAGGACTCAAGTCCAGTCATAAAGCAGTTGGTTACCCTCACAAACATCACACCACTACTACACCAGTAGGCACAATTAGTATGACAGGTTGGTGTTGCAGCATAGATGGCCCAGCCCTGGGTAAGATGTTGATGTTCTTTTCTTCCTCAGCAGCCTGCAGAGGGTTTTCCAGCATCAAGAAGCTGACAGCTTCCTGGTCAGTTTGATATTGATCTCCAAATGTACGACAACCGAAGTGTGTAGTTTCTTCAGTAACAAGGTTTTACCATGGAGTTATAGAGTTATGGAGAGCAACAAAGATCAATGACAGTAGGCTACATTGTTTTGTTATCTCTGCTGCCTCCCTGAAAAAGATTTTAGGAAGATATCCTGTGCCTAGCAGTGATATTTTCATTATATAAGCTGTGTTCCCAGGAGCAGTATTGTCCATCCATGCAGGATACCTTTGATTAAACTCCCCTTTAGTGTACAAAAGTTTTTAATTATCTTACAGACTAGTGGATTTCCACAATTCTTCTCCATACATCCATAGCTTTGATTAACTTTCTCTCTGCCCCTGCTTTCCTTTAGACCTCCAGCCCCAACCTCACTTGAACCTTTAACTGGGAGAATCCCTCCCCTGTTCTTTCATGTCACCTGTGTCCTCTGATCCCCTCCAAGCATATTTTTACTTGTATTGCAATATTCTATGTTTCGGTATACATTTTTGGACTGTATGCTCCTAACTTAGTCTACTTTTATTTGTTATAAGATTATTTCACATAACAAAAAAAATCCTCTAAAAAAAAATAACCCAATCTTTGGGAACAAAGATACTTTGTTTATACACTAGGATCAGGTCTCACCTAGTCCACTGATGCCTCATTCCATTCACACTGCTAGAATCAACCGATGGGCTGGTAATGCAGCTCAGTTGTCTAGCATGCATTATACCTTAGCTTTGACTCCTAGCACTCCATGAGATGAGTGTTTATGGTACACCTCAATAATCCCAGGACTCAGGAGGTGAGGGAAAGACCAGAAATTAAAAAAAAAAACTGCAAAAATTCCTCAAAGTTCTAAAAGTTGTAAGAAATAAATCTTACAAGTACCCACAGATTTGAGGAATCTTACTATGCCCATAATCTAATCATCCCTCACTGCTACTCCATACTGTCACCTTAGGGATTAGAATTTCAACATAAATGTGGAAAAACACAAACATTTAAACCATAGCAATGAATCGCTAGGGATTGAATACTTGGGTCCCTTTATACAGTCTATCAAGTGTGAATGTTTTCTCTTTGGTAGCATCCTAGGCCACTGCTGTGAATTGGATCCAGTAAGAAATTTCTAATAAGAGAAAACTAAAAGTCCTAGATCTCCTAGAAGATGAAGAGTTAAAAAAAAAGAGCAACTTCCATGGAAATATGAAATTTTAGAGTTCTTATATTAATAGCAACATTCTGTGAACAGTTGGATTTTGGAATTTGTTTCCAAAGTTGGATCCAGGAATTTGTTTGTACATATTCTACAATTTTATAAATATGTGTGTATGTATATGATCATATATAATTTATATATGATTTCTAAACATTTATATTTATGATTTCTAAATAGACAAAGCATATATATTTATATATTTATATTTGATTTATATATTTCTATATATAATTATATATATGCTTATATAATATGATTTCTGAATATATATATATTATATATATATGATTTCTGAAAAGACCCAGGCTGAGTAGTTGAAGATGAGGTATATACAGAACTCCCATGAATGTGACAGAAAATGATAATGAGTAGTTAATTAGAGATCTGTCGTGGCATCATATCTATTCTTTACGTCTACCTTTTTTTAAGTTTCATTTTTTTATTAATTCAATTTATTCATTTATTTTTACATCCCAACAACATTTTCTCCTCCTTTCTTCCTATTCCCTTCCCCACCTCCCCTTGAGCACCACCACCCCCAATTTACTCTTTCTCTGTTTCTATTCAGAAAGGGGAAGGCCTCCCATGGGTATCAACAAAGTATGGCTTATAAAGTTGAGGTAGGATTAAGCTCCTCCCCCTCTATTAAGGCTGGGCAAGGAAACCCAGTATGAGGAATAAGTTCCCAAGAGCCAGTCAAAGCATTAAGGACAATCCCTGCTCCCTCTCTTAGGAGTCCCACAAGTAGATCAAGCCACACAACTGCCACTCACATGTAGAGGTCCTAGGTCGGTCCCATGCAGGCTCCCTGGTTGTTGGTCCAGACTCTGTGAGCTCCTATGAGCTCAAGTTAGTTGTTTCTATGGGTTCCCTTGTGATGTCCTTGACACCCCTGCCTCACATAATCCTCTTTAATAGATTTCTATGCCATGGGGAATCCAGAGCTTTGTGTGTGATCCTACAGTCATAGCAAGAAATAGTTAGAAATTACTAAAAATATGTAGTGATAATGATCATTTTGATAGGCATTATTTTAAAGATAGAAGATATATTTTCAATTCTTTCTGTAAAATTGCATGAGGTTGGAAAAAGTGGAATTACTAATGGTTTTTATTTCCTCTTGTGAGCTTTTCTATATCTTTAAATTAAAGCATTAAATTAATGTCCTTAGGCAGATAAATGTAGCATGAGAAGGGTAATAAAAATATGCCATTTCTACCTTCCTATTTCACCACACAAAGTTCTATTCTGAGAGCAGGGCCACCAAACTTTATTACTCTTTTTATGGCATTAACTAGGTATAAAATATGCAATGAAATACATATTATATAATACATACAGCAGTTCTACTTTTCTGTAACTTTACCCTCATCAGCTTAGCCATCCTCTGAAAACACTGAATGGAAAATTTCACAAATGACCAATTCACAAAGTTTAGATTGCCTGTTCTTCAGAGATGTATGTGGAAATCCTATGCTATTTCATTCCATTCCGCCTCGGCTATGAATACACTACTGTTCAGGGTATCTGTGCTTTGTATACTACCTGCTCCTTAGTCACTCAGTAGCCATCTCAGTCTCCAGATACTTGTCACAACAACACAGTTCTGCATCCAAGAAGCCTTTGTGTTACTTATTAATATCCCTAAAACATGAGCAATGGCACCTGTAGTGGGTAGCCATTCCAGCTTGGTTCTGGAAGTTCCAACTCCCATTGAGACTCTGGCAACTGTCACACCTACGAGGCGGGGCGAGGGGAGGCGCCTGGGGACCCGAGAGCTGGATGGGCCAGCGCTCACTCTGGGCGCTCTCTCGGTGCCAGAACACTGACCGGTGCAGATTGACTGTGCAGAGCTCCGGAGAACACCGCTGGACGGCATTACACCTTCCCCAGACCCTGCGACCTACCCATTACTTAATTTGTGAGTTACGCCATTTAATAAATATCCTTTTAACTACGTGGAGTAGCCAAAAGGTGCCCCAGGCGCCTCCCCTCGCCCCGCCTCGTAGGTGTGACAGTTGCCAGAGTCTCAATGGGGGTTGGAACTTCCAGAACCAAGCTGGAATGGCTACCCACTACAGGCACCAGAAATTTTATCTCAATAATTTTGTTTTAATGTTAGTCATTATTATTATTAATATTTTACTGAGACCAGTTTATGAATTAAATTTTATCATTGGTAGATCTGTGAAGAAAAAAATAGTTTATATTTCGTATATCCACTGTGGTATTAGTATGTATTCCCCCATAAATAACTGATAACTACTTCTACATATTATATTTTTATAATTTTATGTAACCATATACAATGTCTTATTACCAAACATATTATGTAATATTATATGTGTTATAAATTATTTATAATTCTATTTTATTATTGCATTTTATGCAATCACTTTTCTTATGTCAATAATAACCCTTACAAGTTTCAGTATCTTACATATCAAAATACATGTATTTCTAATGACTTGGATAAATAAGTTTGCTTCTATTGGAAAATAAAACTTTAGTTTGGATGAATTGAAATTTTTGCTTTATCTCATATGGACAAAAACTCACTACACAAAATAAATGTGGTCTTCCCTTTAAAATGTTTCAAGACAAATATTTGGCAGTGATGTCTTAATGCTGTATAGACACCAAATTATACAGGGCTCTGTTGGATGGGCCAGAGTACTTGGAATATTTAAGTAAATCAGGGTCAATGTGACCCCTTAAGTCCTCAGTTCTGTAGAAAGTGGCTAGGAAGATTTTGTAAAAAGTCAGGTAAGTGACTATAGACAAAAAGAGAAGTGGATTATGTCAAAACTGAAATTAATCTAACCAGACTGCAGAAGATCACTTGTGACATTGAAAACATGCAAAAGGAGACCTTGTCAGCTTAGTTTATGGCAGTTTCGTTAAATAATTAAAATGACTTACAAGTGATCATATGGCATTAATAGTTTCCAATGTAATTTTTCCATCATCCATTAACTTGTTGATTTTTCCATGAAGTGAAATGTGGTTCAAAAAGCATCCAGAATATCACTGGTAACATCAAGAAACCCAAGGCTCTTTGTCACATGAATGAAACTTGCTTCTGCATCATCATGAAAGTATAAAAAGCTGAAGACTATTAAATAGGTAAAATCCAGAGAGAAGGAAAACAGAACTAAACCTCCTCTGGAGACTGTGTTTAAGTGATCTTAAGACAGTTGTGAACGTGGGGAAGGTACTAGAGTAAAAAGAAAAGAAAGCAAAGGTTTCAGAACTTTGAATAGCTTGTCCCTGCCTGGATCTGAAGTGTCCCTCTGGATCTCATATTTAGAACATTTGGTTTTCAGTTGCTGGCCCTGTTTGGGGAGTCTCCAGAATCTTCCCGTGGCCACTGTCTACTGCCCGCCCCCACCACTTCACCTTCTCATCTATGATGGATTGCAGCTCTCTGAAGCCATAAGGCAAAGTTCACCTTTCCTCCCTGCACTCTGTCAGGCAAGCTTGTCACAGTGATGTGTATATAACTAGTATATAACAAAAACGGGAATCATTTCTTCTCTATTGTGTGCATGAACATGATAACTGATGCCAAATTTGTAATAAAACAATGAAATTCGATGAGCCATTGATTATTGATAGCATTACGTAAATGTAAAATGAATGAATTTTCATTATGTTGTATAAATACAATAAATGGTGAGTTTGAGTGTGGTAGCTGAAAGCAAAGAAAGTAACCGGGATATTTCTTTTCATTTCTGTGATAATGCTGTTCACTAAGCTCACATTTAATAGCATATCTTCTTCCAAGGGCAAAAACTTACTATGCTGTTACCTCACTCTAACTTCCTTTTGTTCCTTCTGTCCCATACAAGACAACCCCATTCCTCTCCATAAAGATGGATATCTGTGACAGGATAAGTCAAGGAGTATCCAGCACCAGATCCCTAGGTCATGGATTTTTCAACTTCTAAGAGAAAAACAAAAGTTCAGGAATGTGTCCCTGCACTGCTCTGGATCAGAGGTTCAAGACGGGGGCCAGTATAAACACTTAGTGAAAACTCACAATATGTCAAGACATCTTAGAGATACAAATGATAAAAAGCACATACAACACATGAATAAAATGCATCTCCTGTCTACAAATGGACCTGTGGTCCAGTGTGTGCACAGGAATGTGTGATAATTCACAGATATTTTGATTAGTTTGGTTTTTTTTAGTTTTAGGCAGTTTCATATAGACAATGACCTTCAGTTCTTCTCACCTTCTACTACTCAGTCTCATCCCCACTCCTTCTCCCACTGAAACTTTCTCTTTCCCAATAAGTCCCCTTCCTACTGTGTGTGTGTGTGTGTGTGTGTGTGTGTGTGTGTGTGTGTGTGTGTGTGTGTTTGTGTCCTACTGAATTTAAATAGTTGCCTGTATGAGCATGAGATGTTATTTACTGGCAACTTATCAGTGCTACAACACTAAACTGAAACCTTTCCCTCCAGGTATCACTAACAATAGCTGCTCACAAATATTCCCAAACACAATTACTTTATATCTAGCAGCCCAGTAAAGATGATCCATAAAATTAAATATCAAGAATATTTAGCCGGGCAGCGATGGCGCATGCCTTTAATCACAGCACTGGGGAGGTAGAGCCAAGTGGATCTCTGTGAATTCTGGGCCAGCCTGGTCTACAGAGCAAGATCCAGGACAGGCACCAAAACTATACAGAGAAACCCTGTCTCAAAAAACCAAAAAAAATAGAGAGAGAATTTTTGCTGTGGTTTCAGCTCAAGTATAATTTACACTAAATAAATAAGTAGTTTTTAAGAATATGGTTCAATTAATTTTTGTAAATATATTCATCCACAAAAACACCACCAAGTGAATACACATAAAATGTTCATCATCCTAGAGGCTTATTTATGGCTTCCCCCCTCCATCTCAATTTAGAAACAACTACTACCTTGATTTCTGTCATGCAATACAGAACAACCCATATTCTCATTAGTCTGAAATACCATTTACTCTGAATAGTTTCTGAATTACCTCCATGTCATTCATGCATCAGCAATTTGTTCCTTTTTTAATTGAGCAGTACCAATTTTATAGTTCACAAATTTTATCATTCGGGCACAAAATGAAATGACTCACGCATTGATGGCTATCTGGGTTATTTTCCTGTTTAAGTTTATTGTGACCAGACCTACAGTGAACATTGATATAGAAATCTTTTCACTTGTAAGTTCTCATTTCTCTTGTATAAGTGAGTAAAAGAAATGCCTAAGTTGTCTAGTAAACTTAGGATTTTTTTATTTTTTAAACTTTTTAATTAAAAATTCATACAGTGGCCGGGCGGTGGTGGTGCACGCCTTTAATCCCAGCACTCGGGAGGCAGAGCCAGGTGGATCTCTGTGAGTTCGAGGCCAGCCTGGGCTACAGAGTGAGACCCAGGACAGGCGCAAAGCTACACAGAGAAACCCTGTCTCGAAAAACCAAAAAAAAAAAAAAAAAATTCATACAGTGTATTCTGATGACATTTTCCCCTCCCCTCTATCTACTCCCAGGACCTCCCTACCTTTCCAAACATCCAACTCCATGCCTTCTTTCTCGCTTTCTTTAGAAAAACAAGTAAGTTTTTAAAAGCAAACAAAAAATAAAAATAAATTAATTAAAAATTTAAAACAGGAAGTGAGTTCCAGGAAAGGCGCAAAGCTACACAGAGAAAACCTGTCTCGAAAAACCAAAAAAAAAAAAAAAGAAAGAAAGAAAGAAAACACAAAAAAAAAATAAAAGCACAAAATTGGAAACTATAATATATGTTCAAAAGATCAGTGACTTAAATTTTTATGTTATAAGAAATTACTCCTCTGTCCACCATACCTAAGTTTTAGTTGTCCCATATCCCAGGCCACAGCACTCAGAGTTTTTGAAATTTTACCCACTCTACTGAGTAGAGCAACCTCTACTCTCAAAACTCTCAA